TTCTAACACCCAGATACATAGAGACTTAGACTCAATGAGACAGAAAATTAATAAGGATATCCAGGACTTGAACTCAGATCTGGAACAAGTAAACTTAATAAATATTTATAGAGCTCTCCACTTTAAATACACAAAATATACATTCTTGTCAATACCACATCACACCTACTCATAGGTTTAAATGAAATTGATTGGCCATTAATACCCATTTTTTAGAATAAAGCAATATTTCCATTCTCTCTCCCTTTTTTTCTTCCTCTCCTTCACTCCTTTTTTTTTCTTTCCTTCTCTAAAAAAAAAAAAAAGAAAGAAAGAAAGAAAAAACTTACTCAAAAACCTCACAACTACATGGAAACTGAATGACTTGCTCCCAAATCACTACTGGGTAAATAACAAAATTAAGACAGAAATAAAGATGTTCTTTGAAACCAATGAGAACAAAGACACAACTTACCAGAATCTCTGGGACACATTTAAAGCAGTATGTAGAGGAAACTTTATAGCACTAAATTCCCACAAGAGAAAGCAGGAAAGATCTAAAATAAACACCCAAATATCACAATTAAAAGAACTAGAGAAGTGAGCTAGGCAGGGTGGCTCACACCTGTAATCCCAACACTTTGGGATTTGAGGCCAAGGCAGGCAGATCATGAGGTCAGGAGTTCAAGACCAGCCTTACCAACATAGTGAAACCCCATCTCTACTAAAACTACAAAAACTTGGCCAGGCATAGTGGTGCACACCTGTAATCCCAGCTACTCAGGAGTCTGAGGTAGAAGAATTGCTTGAACTCAGGAGGCAGAGGTTGCAGTGAGCTGAGAGTACACCACTGTACTTCAGCCTGAGTGATAGAGTGTGGAAAAAAATAAAGGAACTAGAGAAGCAAAAGCAAACAAATTCATGATAAAAGCTCATTACCACTGGTAATTAGAGAAATGCAAATTAAAACCACATTGAGATACCATCTTATACCAGTTAGAATGGTGATCATTAAAAAGTCAGGAAACAACAGATGCTGGAGAGGATGTGGAGAAATAAGAATGCTTTTACACTGTTGGTGGTTGTGTAAGTTAATTCAACCATTCTGGAAGACAGTGTGGTGATACCTCAATGATCTAGAACTTGAAATACCATTTGACCCAGCAATCCCATTACTTGGTATATACCCAAATAATTATAAATCGTTCTACTATAAAGACATATGCACATGTATGTTTATTGTGGTACTGTTCACAATAGCAAAGACTTGGAACCAACCCAAATGCCCATCACTGATGGACTGGATAAAGAAAATGTGGCACATATACACCATGTAATACTATGCAGCCATAAAAAAAAATGAGTTTATGTCATTTGCAGGGACATGGATGAAGCTGGAATCCATCATTCTCAGCAAACTATCACAAGAACAGAAAACCAAACACCACATGTTCTCAAGTTGAACAATGAGAACACATGGACACAGGGAGGGGAACATCACACACTGGGGCCTATTGGGAGGTGCGGAGCTAGGCATTAGGAGAAATATCTAATGTATTGTCACCCTAGATGACAAGTTGATGGGTGCAGCAAACCACCATGGCACATGTATATTTATGTAACAAACCTGCATGTTCTGCACATGTGCCACAGAACTTAAAGTATAATAAAGTCATTATATAGAACATGAAGTAAGACCAAGTGCAAAAGACTAAAATAACTTCAAAGATCCAAAAGGTCAGTTCATCTCCAAGGTCCCTTAATATTGAGTTCTAAATTTTTCCCTAAGAGTAATATTATTTTAAGACAAAGTCTTTTGTTTCTTTCTTTCTTTCTTTCTTTCTTTTTACTGGGAACACTATAAGTGATGGTTAGATGTCAAGACAGATCAAGGTACTAATTTAACAGTGTGTGAGGAATTGGAAAACTCTTCTACTTCTTTGAATTTGAGTTCAATTTCAAATTTCAGTTCTACTTCAATTTCTTTGAAATTGGAAAACTCTTCTACTTCTTTGAAACAAAGTCTTTTGTTTCTATTGGGTTATTTATGTGTAAGAACTCATTTATCTTCCCACTCTGCTTCCTAGTGGAATTCAGGATTGGTTATCTGACCATCATAATATTTAGCTCTGTGTCCTGACCAAAATATCATCTTGAATTGTAATCTCCACATGTTAAGTGGGGGGACTTGGTGGGAAGTGATTGGATCATGGGACCAGTTTCTCTCATGCCATTCTCATGATATGAGTGAGTTCTCATGAGATCTGATGGTTTAAAGTGTTTGGCAGTTGCCCCCCACCTCTCCTCCCACCATGTAAAATGTGCCTTGCTTTCCTTTCACCTTATGTCATGATTGTAAATTTCCTGAGACCTCTCCAGCCAAGCATAACTGTAAGTCAATTAAACCATCTTTCTTTATAAATTATCCAGTCTCAGGTACTTTTTTATAGCAGTGAGAAAATGAACTAATACAGGAAATTAGTACCAGGGGTTTGGGGCACTGGTATAAAGATACCTGAAAATGTGGAAACAACTTTGGAACTGGGTAACAGGCAGAAATTGGAACCATTTGGAGGGCTCAGAAGAAGACAGGAAGATGTGGGAACATTTGGAACTTCCTAGAGTCTTGTTGAATAGTTTTGACCAAAATGCTGATAGCGAGATGGACAACGAAGTCCAGGTTGAGGTGGTCTCAGCTGGAGATGAGGAACTTATTGGGAACTGGAATAAAGTTCATTCTTGCTATGCTTTAGCAAAGAGACTGGTGGCATTTTTACCCATACCCTAGAGATATGCAGAACTTTGAACTTAAGAGAGATAATTTAGGGTGTCTGGCAGGAGAAATATCTAAGCAGCAAAGCACTCAAGATGTAACCTGGATGTTTCTAAAAGCACATCCTTTTATGCATTCACAAAAGCTGATCTGAAATTAAAACTTATTTTTAAAAGGGAAACAAAGCATAAAAGTTTGGAAAATTTGCAGCCTGACCATGTGGTAGAAAAATATATACATTTTATTTTTTCTAGGGAGAAATTCAAGCTGGCTGCAGAAATTTGCATAAGTAACGAGGAGCCAAATGTTAATCACCAAGACAATGGAGAAAATGTCTCCAGGACATTTCAGAGATTTTTACGGCAGCCCCTCTCATCACAGGCCTAGATGCCTAAGAGGGAAAAATTATTTCTTGAGCCATGCCCAGGCCCCCACTGCTCTGTGCAGCTTTGGGATATGGTCCCTTTCCTCCCAGCCATTCCAGTTTAAGCCATGGCTCAAAGGGGCCAAGGTACAGCTCAGGCCATTGCTTTAAAGGGTGTAAGCCCCAAGCCTTGGCAGCACATTGGCAGCTTCCATGTGGTTTTGAGCTTGCAGGTGCATCAATGACAAGAGTTGAGCTTTGGGAACCTTTGCCTAGATTTCAGAGGCTGTATGGAAACACTTGGATGTCCAAGTAGATATCTGCTGCAGGGGTGGAGCCTTCACAGAGAACCTCTACTAGGGCAATGCAGAAAGGAAATGTGGAGTTGGAGCCTCTTCAGAGTCTCTACTGGGGCACTGCCTAATAGAGCTGTGAGAAGAGGGCCACCATCCTCCAGATCCCAGAATGACAGCTTGCAACGTGTGTCTGAAAAAGCCACAGGTACTCAATGCCAGCCTATGAAAGCAGCCACAGGGACTGAACCCTGCAGAGCCACAGGGGCAGAGCTTCCCAAGGCCTTGAAAGCCTACCCCTTGCATCAGCATACCCTGGATGTGAGACATCTAGGAGATTATTTTGAAACTTTAAGAGTCAGTGACTGCCCTGTTGGCTTTTGAACTTGCATGGAACCTGTATCCCCTTTGTTTCAACTAATTTCTCCTACTTGAAATGGGAGCATTTACCCATTGTCTGTATCCTCATTGTATCTTAGAAGTAGTTAACTTGCTTTTGATTTTATAAGCTTATAGATGGAAGGGACTTGTCTTTTTCTCAGATGAGACTTTGACTTGGACTTTTGGGTGGATGCTGGAATGAGGTTAGAATTTGGTGGACCCTTGGAAAGTCATGATTGTGTTTTGAAATGTGAGAAGGACATGAGATTTGGAAGGGGCTGGGGAAGAATGATATAGTTTGGCTCTATGTTACCATCAAAATCTCATCTCAAATGGTAATCCCCAGGTGTTGATGGAGGAACCTGATCAGAGGTTATTGGATCATGGGTGCAGTTTCCTCCATGCTGTTCTCATGATAGTGAGTGAGTTCTCATGAGATCTGATGGTTTAAAAGTGTTTGGCAGTTTTCCCTTCACTCTCTCTCCTGCCATCATATAAGACATGCCTTGTTTCCCCTTCACCTTCTGCCATGATTTTAAATTTCCTGACACCTGCCCAGCCATGCAGAACTGTGATTCAATTAAACCTTTTTTCCATAAATTACCCAGTCTTGGGTAGTTATTTATAGCAGTGTGAAAATGGAATGATACATCTCTCAATCCAAATGAGCAGAAGAAAGGGAATTTATTTCCTCAAAGTATTATTATCTCATTGGACTAGTTAACTAAAAATATTGAATGCCAGGCTATAGAGTTAATTTTGCCATCTGGCAAATTAAGAGCAACTGAAAGCTTCTGAAAATAAGAATTACATGAGGAAAGTGAATAGATTTCTAAGATTAATTAGGAGTGATCTTGGGGGGAAAGAGAGATGAAAATAAGAGATATTATAGAATCCTAGAATGTTGGAGTGGAACAATCTTTTAAGGATGGAAGTGGAGAGACTTATTTAAGTCAATGATGTGAAGACAGAATTAGCACTAGAATGCCTGTCTCCTTACTCCTATATTTTCATACTTTCTGTAGCAGACCAGACTGAGTTCACTGAAAGGGATTATATTGTACGTTGAAATTGGCTACTGGTTGGAGAGGGGATATCAAAGATAATGCCTGAGAACTCAGAGAAAGGGGCACTATTGGGAAATTATCTTATTTTTTAGAGAAAGAAGAAATTTTATCTCAAATTTTATGGACTTTCTTTTTCTTTCTAGGTAATGCAGATCGTGACCAAGCCATATGTATGTATTGTCCTTTATTTCTTATACAATTTAACTACTTTATGTGAAATCCAGCTTTCAATTGCTTCTTTATTTACAGATTACCAATTTTGGTATCCAAAATGGGAAGTGCCCCGGCCAATTGTGTGTGATCCACTGTGTGCATTCATTTTATTATTGAGAATATTGTGTTTTATGCTGTGTGTCACAACTGTTTTGATAGTACAGTCTTATTTTCCAAATATCTTGTTGGAACGACAAATGATATTTACCCCTGAGGAGTCTGAAGAAGAGAAAGAAGAAGAGGAAAAAGAGGAAAAGAAGAAAGAGAAAGAGGAAACGGAAATGGAATTTGAAATAATAGAAACGGAGGAGGAAAAAGAAGAGGGAGAGGAGGAAGAGGAGGAAACACAAAATGAAAAGATGGAGGAAGAGGAGGAAACACAAAAAGAAAAGATGGAGGAAGAGGAAGATTTATCACCAACATAAGCCAAAAGTATAATACAAAAAAGACAGACAGAAAAAAAGGAAAGTAAAACACTGAATTTTAACAAGAAAGAAAATATGCAAACCACTTTTGGAATGTTTTTTATTTCCTTATCTCCTGTGCTTATTCAGTAAATTTACATTTGTAAAACAAAGAAACAAACAAAAAACATGTAAGCATTAAGGTGAGCTCTTTGATGCTAAGAACATATAAAGATGTAACAAGAAAAACACTGAAAAAAATTTGACCAGTCTAATTAATCTTAAGATTTCACCATGTTATTCTAATAAAAGAGGGAATTTTTATTTTCTAAATATGTTCCCATCTCTGTGCTTTCAGTATTTTCTAAATGAGTTAATACATTTTTCAAGTATTAAATGACATTATTCATTTAAGGTGCTCAAGATCATTCCAAGTTCAGATAATTCCAAGAACAGTCATTGAATAAATATTGTTGAATTTTCGTTTTTACTGTCATAGTTGTTTTTGTTCTTCTGTCATAGTTGTTATTGGTGGAGGTGGTATTTTTCATGTGATATTATGTCATCTAATATTATTATTTGTCTTTGTGGTATATGGTATATGTTCTTGGAATGATTTAAGTGGTACCTGTACATCCTTCTAGGATGCAAATTTATTATTTCTAATTTATGTTTAATATTTCAGTAAAAACTTGCTGTAATTTTCTGCCATCAAAGGCTAATAAATGCCAGAATTTTAATTAGTTGTGATGGCAGAATCTGGGTGCTTTCAAATTTATATGATAAAATAAATTTTCTAAAAATTATTTACTTGTTATTAATATATGTAGCAAAAGTTCACAAATTAATAAGATAACTACTTACCACTAGTAATACTAATAAATGAACTGAATAAAAATATGTAGCAAAGGAGATTTCTTTAGCTGTAAGATAAATGGATAGTACTAGATGACCACTAAGATCTCTTCATCAATAAATACTCATGGATCAACTTTGTAAAGGAATCAGTAGTATCTGTGGAGTATACCAAGTCAACACCTGGGGAAAGGATCTGATTTTTATGAAAATATTCCTGAATTCAGCACTTTATATGGAAAAATGGTAAACACCTTTTATTACACAGTTTTAAAATATGCAAAAAGCAATGTATATTATTTTTCCAAATGCCATTCCATGCTTACCTGTCTTATTGTTACACACTTATTAGAACTCAATGTGATTTAGATGTGAAAGGTTAATATAATTCTATTTATGACAGGGACTTAGAGAACTCATTCTAATTGAGAAACAGAGGCTTAATAAACCTGAAGTTTAAGTGAAAGAAATGACACTGAAAGAAAGAATCACTGTATATCTGATGTTTTCAAATAAAACAATCTCTGTTTTCCAATTTTGATAGAATACTGTGTTCTAAAGCCATATTTCTCAATGAATGTTTCCACTACGGAGGAAAAATACTAGCATAGCCAAATACCTCAAATGGTATAAATGCTATATGTGTTAACTGTCGTTTTTTAGTTGTATCAATATTGTGTTAAAAGCCTGTTCCTAAGTAGGGCAAGATCAGAATTATATTAAAAAGCCCTGAGCTATTCTCTTGGATTTTAGTGTTTCTGTTTGGTTTTTTCCTTTGATTGTTTTTTCCAAGAGCTCTTCTTTGTAGAAATTAGATCTTTTTCAATCTATAAAGAGGTTCTGTTCTACCAGTCCCCTGAGAAAAAGCCTTAGGTACAGAAAACGGCTAGCTCTCTACAGGGATGTTATTTATTATTATTATTGTACATTTGTGTCTTACTTCATAGTTTCCAAAGTTCTTTTATGTAATTATTTCATATTCAAACCATCCTTGTGGAGCTGGCATTGTCTCTGTTTTTAAAATAAGAAAACCGAACTTGGATTTGTGAAGATTTGATGCATTTACAAGTACAATTTCTTCATTTCTTAATTCCCACACTAACTTGTCATATATCTGTATGCCTAACAGTCCCTGGGCCTGGTCCATGAAACTGTTTTCCCCTAGGCCTCCAGGACTGTGATAGGAGGGACTCCCAAGAAAACCTCTGACATGGCCTGGAAACATTTTTCCCGTCATCTTGGAGATTAACATTCAGCTCCTCATTACTTTTTGTTTGTTTGTTTGTTTCCAAAGAAAAAAAATATTTTTATTTCTCATTTAAAAAAAAAAACAACAAAAATTTATTTAATTAAGCATAAAGTTACTTTCACATTTGTCTACAACCAGAGCAAATACAGTTCTTGGCATAAAGACACAGCCTCCCTACCTGCAAGATTACATATATAAAACTCCCACTATTGTTTACATAATAGTGGACTTTTTAGTCAAATTAAAATAGTTATATTATCGAGAATAAAATGAAATGGATATAATTTACTCATAAGATTCATATTTAAATCTTTGTTTACAAAATACTATCCTGAGAATTATAATTCCATTAAGCTTCAATTTGAGTAAAAGTGTAATCTCTTAAATAACAGCAATTACTTAAACTGAAAATGATATCAGTCAAAATTAATTTGGAAGAGAGCAAAAATATTGTCAGGTTTCCTGCTGCGGTTCTGGATTTTTAATAGTGGGCTCATTTGAAGCTGAAATCAACCCTTCTACCTTCAGAATGTGGGGTAGGCAGGAAATCCAGGCCTTGTGGGAAGATAAGGAGGAAAACTCCTCAGTGGATAGACATTTCTCATTGCAAATGGAGTATGTGGTGGACCTGGGAAATCCCTTAATGGAAAGTAATCTTGAGAAGCTCCAAACATGGTTCCTGGAGGAGGTAGGGGGAAAGGAGTTTCTCTTCTTATGAAGGAGCCCCTTGTATCCACTGGTAACAATGGACCTTTAATTGGAGCAAGAGGTGGAGGAACAAAGCCAGGGCTAGTTGCTTCATTTTCAGTGGGGAGAGATGAATTAGACACATTTAAATTACCAAGATCATCTTTGGTATCATTCCTACTGGATTCCATTTCTAAAGGCATTGACCCATCCATTTTATCCAAAGAAGGCATATTAAAACTTTTGAGTTCTGCTGGTCCAGACAGTCTACCAGAATTAGAATAAAATCTGTCTTGCCTTTGTGGAGGAAGAGCTGAATCAGGATATGATTGTCCTGGTGGAGGAAACATTATCCTATGGTCCTCTTCCCATGAAGGTGACAGGGACAGTGTCAAGAGGAGTCCTCTGAGTACTGGTTAAACTAACACAGCTTGATTCTTCTCTTTCAATGGTAATCTTATGGTTCAGAGGATTCCCTGGGCCTCTTGAGCCTCTTTCACCTCCCCTTGGAAGCAAAGGTGAGAGTCTGAGTGGACCCTTGAACAAAACTAGAGGAGAGAGAAAAGCTCTCATTTCAAACGAAGACCGACCCAATGGTGAAGGACCATGTTGGGAATGCTTTCTCAAATGCTGTATTCAGAACATCAAGTTCATAAGGATCTTTTTCTAAAAGTTCAAATTTAAACACTGTTTCAGTTCATTTTTGTCTGTTGTTAGCATTTTCTTAAATTCATTGAGGCTTCTTTCAGCAGTCTGAGCTGCCAACCAATTATCATGTGCTTTTTTCTCACAGGAAGTAATCTGCCCTTGATAATAATGAATGGTTCTCTCCAATTCTTCTTCAAGATCTTTGGCTCACTTTCTATAGGTCTCCAGCTCTTCAGTGTCATGGCTAATCTTTTTGCATACTTTAGAAAGTTTCTCTTCTTTTCTAACTGGTAATCTTCCTCTACTGTTAATTTCCCATGGAGTTTCATTTCATTTTCATGATATAATTTAGTCATTACTTTAAGTCTCTGTTGAAGCTTCTGATTCTCACTTTCAAAATGTGTGTTTTCTGATTGCAAAGATGCTTGTTCAGTCTGAAGGTTTTTAATATGCTCTGTAAGCTCTTCCTTTGTTTTGTTAACTTCAGCTAACTGACTATAAATTTGTTTTCTTTCTCCTAAGGTTTTTAAAGTAGCATTTAACTTAGCAACATGAATCAATTTCTCCAACAGTTCTTTTGGAGGATTATCTAAGTAAGCACCATTTTCTGATTCACTGTCCACTTCTAATTCCAAGTTATCATCATCCATTACATCTTCTCCAAGCATAGGAGCCCAATCATCTTTAGCAAGCGTTCAGTCAGAATCTTGATGTGATTTTCTTTATCTTTTAGATCTTGTTCTGTGTGTACTTTGGAGTCTTCAAATGTTAATTTCTGTTTGTTAAGTTCACTCACTTGTTCTTTCCATACCTCAGCTTCTTGCAGAAGCTGTGTCTGGTTTTTTTGAAGTTGAGTATTTTCAGTCAAAGCATCTTTTATTGCTATCTTCAGTCATTCTTCATTCATTTGAAATATCTTGAAGGTCATTTTGGCTTCAGCAACTTGTGATTTGAGGGATTTTGACTCATATTCTAGAGACTGTAATCTTTTTGAAATATCCACTATCAATTCATCTTGTTCAGAATGTGTTTATTTCTCTCCTTTTAACTCTTTTACTAGACAGGGTATTTCATCCTGAAGTTCAGAATTGGACTTGTTCAGCTTTCCACAGGTTGCCTCCAAACTTTGCACTTCGTTGCCTCCTAGCTTTCATACTCTTTTTGAACAGGGCTAAATTTTTCAAGTAGTTTACATTTTTCTTCAATTAGTCCAGAAAGCATTACGGCAAGCTTTTTCTCTCTTTCCACATAAAGCCGACTTCTAACAGATCTAAAAATTCTCCACCAAAAAAAAAAAAAAAAGGAAACACCAAAAAATCCAACAATAGCTGCTCATATCACCAATTCCCATAAAAATACAGCATAAGGATTAGAATCTGGTCACATACCATCAGGCAGTGATGCCACAACCCTCCATAGCACCTCCAGGACCAGTCATAAGTACGGCCAAGGGGTAGCCCTGGGCTCCTCCATAATGCCAAGGCTGCTCTGGCAGTCACTGCAGTAACCTTGGCCTGTTGGGCTTGCAATGAGGGGCAGAGAACAAGCAGCCTTTGGTCTGGAACCCTAATCCACACACGGCAACAAGAGCAGACCACTGTGGAGCCAGCTGTGGGGGTACCTGGGGCACCCACAGGCCTCACACCCTGTCTCCCTTGTTACACTTTACAACCTGAGGCAGCACAGGTTCAAGCCTGACCCGCACAAGCCTGCAATGCACCCTGTCCTTGCCACTCCACTGCCCCACCCCTCAGTTTGGTTTCTATTCCTTTTCTC